ATCCAAATTGTTTGTTTTAAAACAAGTATTCCTTAGTTTAGTATCCGCACATTGTTTTAGTATACATTTTTTAAAACATATATTGTGGCAGTCATAAGGAGCACACACGATTGACTGTAAACACGTCTTTATTCCACGACTGCCGACAAGTGGATCTATTCTGAACAAGGACAGAATAGTGTCCGCCATAATATTTATTAAAAGAAAAATAAATAAAAGTCCGCGAGAGAGAAGCCCGACCCGAACCTGTTTTACTTCCGCATTCCTGTCGTTTTGGTCCGCAGCAGAAACTGCACGTGTGACCGCAAGTGGAACTGCTCCGACGCTGTGCCGGAGCTGTCACGCTCAGCGGCTTTGCACGTGTGACCGCTCCACAAAATTTGCTCCGGTGTAAAATATATCGCAACAAAATATTTCGGTGCAGCGTCGGACCAAATGTGTGCTGTGTGAACAAGGCTTATGATGAACACCACGGGCCGAGTAAAATCCGAGGACGGCGGCGAAGGCAGCGGCGCGCCCCGGCCCACCGAGTCCGGAACGGGGAGAAAACTAAATAGGTGGCGGCGGTGCTGGCCGCCGAGCGTCAGGTTCAATGTCTTCTTGTTTTATGTTTTATGGTTATTTTGTTTAAATTTTTAATGGAAAAAAAAAAAAAGCTTAAAAAAAAAAAAACTTTGTCTGACCTACTGACCCTATGCTGAAATTTCATGTTACCGGAAACACACTTTTTTGTTTGGCCTTAGCCTTCTCCGCTTCGTATAATTTCTGTACATAGCTTGTAATGGAGGCTCTCGCTGGCAATCCGTAGTGGAGTCGTTAGAGGCAATGCGAATGATTTCAGCTGGAGTCTAGCTGTGGACAATGTTGACAGGCTTGCATGCAGTAGCCATACATTTAGCTCTGGCTTCAGCAAATTTGTTCTTCGTCGTGTTATCCATTTTCTTCGCTTTGAAATTATCCATAGCCGTCTGTCTTAGACGAGGGGGCGGAGTACTTACATCAGCTGTGTGCTTGGCCATTAAGTGGTATTTCAGACTCAACGTGCTACGATGATAGCTCAGTTTACGACTGCAAAACATACAGGTACTGTAACTTTGGTCTTGTCAGTGGAACCATCTGGCAACTTTTTAAAAGTAAACTTTCCATTCATAAATTCTTAAGTATCCGTTTTCGGTGTCTCGCGCTGCCGTGGCTGGCCAAACAGACATGGGCGTGGACCTGTGCAGCGCGCTTGTTGTTTTGTTTCCGGTTTATTTATAGAGCATCCGCTGTGACGTGATGCCGCATTAATCTTGCGATAAAAAATTTTATCACGTTAAAATTAATTTAAATTAACGGCAATAATAACGCGTTTAAATAACAGCACTAAAAATTATTATTTCTAGTGCTTTAGTAAAATGTTAGTTGCATCCCTTAAATAATTTTTTTATTCCTGTATTTTCTGCACTATAAGGCGCACCTTTAATGAATGGCCTATTTTAAAACTGTTTTCATATATAGGGCTACAATAGTGGCTCCGGTCGCGTTATGCATCCACTTGACAGCTTTATTTATATAGAGCTTTCACAACTACTGCAGCTGTAACAAAGTGCTTTACATAACATTTATAATACTACGTCCAAGAAATCAGACTATTGATCAATGTATAAGGCGCAACAGATTAGAAGGTGCTCTGTTGGCTTTTGAGAAAATTGAATGCCTTTTGGTGCGCCTTATAGTGCGGAAAATATGGTACAATTATTATTATTTTTAAATGTATTTATGTACTCATTTTCACCTATGAGTTAATAAAGAAACTGAACTATTCATCTCACCTAATAATGGCACTTCAGTGAGTTCTGCAATATAAGGTCACTTGTAAAAATCAACTAAATTAGTCACGTGGTCCACAAGTTCTGAATACAAAACCATCATTGTCTTGCCCTCTGTAATCTCCTGTGCGATTGATTTGTGCAGGAGGACCACAGCCGTATCACAGACTTGGTGCTAGAGAAGGGGAGAAACCCAGTGGCAAGCGGCATCCAGACACAACCACCAGGTACCCTGGTTTCCTTGCTTAGGCAAGGCCTGAGTTGGCCGAGGCATGCCAGCCGGGCTGTGTGTGTGATTCCTGGACATCTTTTGGGCAGTGTGCGTGAGTCTTTCGCAGCTGTGGGTACCCATGTCAGAAGCTACTCACATGATTATGTGTTCCTGTTTGAGTTGCTGGGCATGGGCTGTTCTCTGCTCTGCGTAATGCACGAGGTGCTTGGACAGATCAGCCAGGAGGCTCAGCTAGCTCACGTGGACTGAGCTGCGGAAGTAGTCTCGGGCTCTGTCTCACATAAGTGTGCTCCATCTACTTCCCATACTTCGAGAGTTGTCTCGTATCTTTCTTATCTGCATTCCAAAGTGCCTTATTGAATATATTTTGGAAGGCCAAGGCGATTTTTATAATCATGATATACTATTCATCACCTGACTAGTTTCTATTGTTTGTCTCCACCATTTAGTTTTATCCAACTTGATGCCATTTGAAGCCTAATGTCAAGCAGCACATTTATGCTGTACGGATGTTGTAAAGACCTGAATGCATGCGTAATGCAAATTTGCTTGTTCAAGGCTACATCTCTAAACAAGTTAAAATGATTACCTATACCCCTTTTGATAATGAATCTGAGTTGAAATGTTTGAAAAGTCTAACTGTTGTTCATGCAGCATTGAATTCCAACTTGCAAATAACCAAGAACGTGCTCTTGAATCTAACTTTTAGAATGTGTTGCATGCTTTTAACTGAACTACAAGAATTGACTCTACAAGAATTCTACATGGCTGTTGACACAGCATTTTGCCTGCTGCACCATGACTGCAATGGAACTGCCAAAACGTTTTTTTTTTTTAACTGAATATTTTAATTTGTTCATGGTTATGTTGTTTCACTTTTTTGTCCTTGGTTTAAAATCAATGTAATCTTGCAAAGTAAAAATCTGATAGTGTTGTACTGGGACAACAAATCTATCTAATAGAACATTTGTGAAACCTTTACATGTATTTTGTTGTCTCGCTTTTATTTTTTTAAAGCACTTTGGTTTTTACTATTATTTTGCTTCAGGCCAGCAAAAAATGTTTTTTTTTAAACTCCTAATATTTATAGAATTTTGTGCTTGGAAAAAAGACCAAAGAATTTCCATTTTGACTGTTGAATTAAATTCTTCTGGTTTGAATTTGTAAAAATCCAATTACTTTTTCAGTTCCTTTTCTGCACGTCAATTTGTTCTGCCCCCAACACTCTTCTCAGACCTTTTTCCTCAAAATTTCCTTCGTTCATTCACTTCACTTTGTTCAGTCTGTTGAACATTTACAAGGCAGTACAACTTGCGATTGATGCAAGAAGGGTGAGAGTTGGCCATTGTCTGTTGTAACTAGTACCCATTTGAGGTCAGAATGCAAGATGTGGCAATATGCTGATGTTTCTTAATACTTTCCCAGTTGTAATAATTGTGACGCATAGATGAAACTTTTTATTGGACATATCCATGACATTGTCACCGTTTGTGTTCCATGGCAGTGATAACATCAAATGTGAGCCTCGTAGCCCTTGTGCTTAGCAGTTCCTCACTAACGCCCTAATACCAACACAGCGTCTGCCTGCCTCAGTTGCTGCATCATCGTCATCCATCCTTCTCTTACGGCTAGTTTGAAAGTAACGCTTGTGTCCACATCTGTGTGTGGTTCCCTCTGTTACAGAAGAAGGCCTCCTCCCTTCAGAACCCTTCTCCAGATCTCTCTCATGTACCTGCTAGAATTTGTCCAAGATTAGAAGCCCAGTAGCTGCTTTTTCCACACAGCATGAGACATTTAATATGATGCAGGGAATATACAAAATGAACACACCCCTTGCTTTTTTGCTCATGATCACACTATACGTTAACCCTTTCAGGGACAGCGGTTACTGCGGTGGACAGCATATCATGTTATCAGGTTACACGTTGCGTGAAAGGGTTACATTGTTTTGCTTTTGTTTGTTTGTTTTTGTTTGTTTTTTTTAATGAATAATTTGACCCATAACCAGTACGTATGACTTAGATGAAAACAAATATATGGAGAAAATAATTTTAATGCTACTGGATGCAACTTTTTCTTTATTTACAGTGTTTAGGCTTAAAAGGAATAATGAGCTGGTAGATGGATTTTTACATCAGAAAACTGCTGTCATTAAAGCAAAGGGTAAGGATTTGTTTTAGGGCATGTCGTACACTCATTTTAGTGTACATTTCCCATTGGATTTTTAGTTTTGTTGTTTGATCGCTTGACACATTTACATTCTTGAATTCTTACAGATTCTAGGTTTTGAATTGGTTCCATTTTTTTTTTTATATTCAGGAAAAATCTGATCTTTTAACAAGGTGTGTTCACTTTCTATATCCCATGAATATTGTCTGCGTTGCTGTAGGTATAGGTCTTGATACAGTCCACCAGCCTTTTGATTTCCTTATTCAGAATCACTGTAAAGAATGCATAATCTATTAAAATTATGCAATGTAAATAGAACTAAAAATAAATCCAATTGATAACATAATGGTTTGGTGCTTTATTGTCGGCTAGTTTGATTTCCGTGACAACTTCATTTGGAGTAGAAATCAAGTTTGCCCCCCCCCCAAAAAAAAACCCAAAATACATATCTATTAACCACACAATTAACAATTGCATTCGCTGTCATCTGTCAAGACAATCCTCTGTCTGCCTTAGTGCTTATTTGACCCACAATCACCTGTTTGTCGTAGTTGTTTGTCAGCCTGAGAGTACCACATGTTTGGAACTGAAAGGCCGGAAAAAAAAAAGTGCAGTACACTAAAATGCCACAAATTCAACCAAATCCAAGGGAATTTGATACCTGAGCAAAGCTGAAGTGAATCACCTCGGCTATCAGCTTCTAATGGACTATGTTTCTGGACTTTTGACTTTCTCAAGATTTTTTTCTTTGGGTGGTGATACTGTTTCACGTTTTCCAACTCTTCACATGTGACTCTGATCAATCACTTCACACAAACCTGTAGCCAGTCGAAATGGGAACATCAAACTATAACAGTAAGTCCACTCCCCTCCAAAATTATTTGGGCCGATTTTTTTTTTTTTTTTTTTTTTTTTTTTTTTTAAGATTGAAAACATTTGAGTTTGAAAGCCTCTAGAACAGTGGTTCTTAATATTTTCGATCGAACCCTAGGGGTTCAGTGAATCGGTCTCAGGGGTTCGACGGAGCCTCTGCCATGGAGGTAAACCGACTCAACTTGTCAATTAGAGATAACGCACCCGCTCGGCCGTCACTGGCTGCAGATGATCACATTACATTGCTTAAATTTAGTTCGCTTAGTAGTCAACGTGTGACTGTCGTGATAGTACGAGGTACAATTAAAAAAAAAAAAAAAGTATACTTATCTCTTGAAATTTTATTTACTTTCTGTTTCTATTTATGCATTTTTTTTAATATCTTGAATTTGTAAAATGTGCGTGTGTGTGTGTGTATATATATATATATATTATAGACACACATTTTATATATCCTCGATGCTCCACACTTTTTTTTTATATATAGATATAGATATATACGTGTATATATAGATATATATGTGTATATATCTATATATACATATGTGTATGTATATACTGTGTGTATATATGTATATACAGATACATTTATGTGTGTCTGTATATATATGTGTTTCTCGAATGAAGGGTTCGGTGAATGTGCAAATTAACTGGTTGAGTTCGGTAACTCTAAGAAGTTTAAGAACCACTGCTCTAGAATGAACAGTAAAGAGGAATTGCATCACTTTTCTCATGTCAATGGGTCACAAGCTTAATGCAGCTACTGCACACAAAATATTTGCTCCTAAAGAGTTTAAGTTTGTGTAGTCTCATTTGTTCCAGTAATTATGGTCACCTTAAACTGGTCTTCTCTGACAAATTGTTGCACATACTATTTTCAAGTTGTGCCTCATATGCAGATGTAAATACCTAAAAATGTAAACTTTTTTCTTATTTCTTTCATATTCCCATGTCAAACTCAAATGTTTCAGTCTACTACAGTTTTCTGCTAAAAATAAAGGAATTGGCCTCACTGTATACATGCTTTTGTTTGTTTGTTCGTTCTTTCTTTTTTCCTTCTGTCCATCTGTCTCTCTTTCTTTCATTCTTTCTTCCCTTTTTGCCTTGTTTATTTACCGGTATTTATTTTATCTGATTGAGAGGAACCATCTTTGGAAAAACTGTAAAATGTTGACATCCTTTAACGTGAGTACGGTACTCTATTGCAATATGCTGTATTGTAACTTTAGTATAACATGATAGTAGAGTAGCTGGCAGCGTTTCAGCCAAATTTAGACTTGGAGAAACTGAATCTATATTGTATTTACTTTTTTCCCCCTTGCATTGTACGGCTGTGTGCTCGTCAAGTTTAAAAGTGAAACAGTAACTGGTGCAATTGTTTAATTTATCAATTTCACTGAGACTGTGAGTGCTACAGTGTACTGCTTAGTTCACCCTCACTGTACTTTGAACTTGACTGCCAGCTCATATCCCATACCCAATTAGTGTTGTTGTTGTTTTTAACTTCCAGACAGACCATCTATTATGCATTCACAGCATGACTATGATCCTGGAAAAACAGACATGGCTGTGGAAACCCTCGATGTGCCCTGCATAGAAAAGCCTGCAGAGCGTGATGTCACACAGGCGAAGCGTGCTGAAGGTCAGGATGGTTTTCAGTCCATGATTTAGATCACATATATTCAATATATATTGACGTACAGCTTCCATAGTTTGAATCAAAAAACTGAAAGAGTTGTCTTCATCAGGGTCACAATCCGTTTTGCTTCTAATTGTCTAAAACGTTCTTTTGTTTGAATTAGCCAAAATGAGATCTCAAGGACTAACAACCCCCCACCCCAACTATAGTTAAGTTATGACATTTTACTCAGATTTAATGGCACTGAAATGTGGTTACTAGTTTTATTTTTGAACACAGCCTGTTGTTTTTTTTTTCTTTTGGGGTGGGGTTACCAAATTCTGTGGTCGTCTGAATTTCTGTTGAGCAATATGTTTTACTACTGTTGTTTTAATTTGTTAACGTACATAACAGCACTGCATTTTACTATGTGGCTGTGCCTAATTTAATATAGCTTCTGTATTAAATTGGATTAGATCAAGTACCGGTAGTTATAATGTTGTGACTTATAAATGTAACTGCAGTTTGCCTTTCATTTATCTTATCCCAATGTTCTTGTTTTAAATTATGCTTAGATAAATGCTGGGCTTCCACTTCAGGGTGGCAGGGAAATAAGGATGTGACTGCTGGGGTGTAGCTAGCTTTGCAATCATTACTTCAAGCAATCATCTCTGGTAACTACAAAATGAATCAGGGGATGAAACTGTCTCTGGCAATGCTTGTTCAAACCTGCCTGGGTCGTTCCCCCCTCGCCCCAATGTTGAACTGATCAAGCGAGAATGTCATACGTCATTCCTCTACCGGTGCTTTCAAAAGCCAGTATATGATGTTTTCGCTCTGTCTCTTGTTTTCCCCCATTATATGTAGGTCACTCTAAGAACAAACACAGTAATTGCTGGAAACAAAGAATCAGAGCAAGTGAGTATACTTCTCCGTAGCTAACTTTTCTGGCTTTTAAGGGCATTTTCTATCTTCATCTTGAAGCATTGTGATAATCGAAAGCTAAATTAGACCAATGTGGGGAAAAAAAAAAGCTTTAGTAATTGCGCTATCTAACTAGGAAACTGATTTCTTATACTGACCAAACTATGCAATTTGCCACTGATGATTGTTTTTCCCATAAAGCAAATGCTTTATGTTTGCAAACATTATTTTCTCATCATTATCCTGCCCCTCCCAGGATTCCCATTGAGATTTGTCAAAAACTTCCAACGAAGCTGGCCGCGGGACAAAGGACCTGAGACTGTTCCTGAAGCGGACTCTGACTTTGAGGAGATCGAGTCGGCTGAAAAACAAACTGTACATTGACAGATTCCCCCCACCCCCCAACAGTGTTGGGTACTGTATTTTATGACTAAATAGGAATTTGTTTTTCTTTACTCAGGCTTCTGGAGGAGAGACATCTGATCTCAAACATCCCTCAGAGGGAAGTGAGAAGAGTGAAAAGTTTACAGCATGCAACTCAACCAGCCCAAAGAAACGTTTGATTTTATCTCTTAATGAGAAAGAGAGACTCTTGAGCTGGGACATGCTGGGCACTCCAGAGGAAACTTCAATTACAACTGACGCCAAGACCACAAAGCATCGCCAGGTTGAGACATGACTATCGCTCTCCTTGTATAATGCAAATAGTCCAGCGAGAAATAAGAGAAATTAATTTCACCTCATAATGACCTGTGTTACCCGTTCCCCTCTGATGTTTTATCAGGTCCAAGCAGAGAGAGAAGCAGATAAGCTTCAGGCGGACTCCAGCCAACATGGAGAACTAACTGAAAGCCAATTTGCCTCTGCCGCTTCGCTCTCAGCATTCCATCTTATTGCCAACGCCTTCAGGAGGACATTTAGTGTGACCAATTCTTCCAGCAGCTCCATCACAGCCCCCACAATGTTTGTAAAGACATCATTATGCATCCCACATCAGTGCTGCTCTTGTTTGTACTGGAACCTTTCTTGTCAAGTCTCTCCTTCAAATGTTTGATGTGATTATCTATTTCTGTGATGAATGCCAGAGTAGATATGTTTCACACTTTCAGTTTCGTTCCATTTCACCAGGAGGCCCAGACATGTTGGCCAACCCAGACGCAGACCTATGTCGGAGGGAGAGCTGAATTTCAACTCTGCTGAACCAGAATCATCCAAAGAGAAGAAAGCTAGAAACCATCAGGCCAGTGTGGACTTGCCGTCTCTGCTGCAGCAAGTCTCCCTGAAAGGCCGCAGAGACTCTGGAAGGGTCTTCAGTGATGGAGTGTCATCACTGTCCAAAAGGAAGGTTACCCTTTTCTCCTCCTTGAGGCTCAGGAAGAGGGAGTCATCAGAGACTGATGGGAAAGACCAGGAGCTCCATAAGGAAATCAGGATGATCCTTACCAACCTGAGAAACAACGGTCAGTGTCATGATATAGCAACCTGAGATTGGACCTTATTACCTAGTGTATATTCTTAGAAGTTAAGTACATTCATATATAAGATAAGATAAAAAAATATGGAAGCCATACACTTCTCAGCAGTTTGCAAATGATTTCGTGACAAATAGAAGCCTGCTTTTTTATTTGTTGGAATTTCGTGTCTTAAATGCCCACTTGAGTGTGAGTCTCTGAGCAACAGTGTCAATATTTCCTTTTAATCTAGCTTCCAGTCAGCAGAGTCTGGAGGAGCCCTGCTCAACTGATGATGAATGCGAATCCACCAATATAAAGGTTCGTACACTTGGATGTACCATTTCTGTGCAGTGCCCCTGTGTGTTAGTGTTTTTTAAATTTGTGTATATATTATTAAGCGTTGAATACTTCTGGTTACAGGTGTCAGCAGAACGACAACTACAGAAGCAAGAAAAGACGGTGGCCCAACAGGCCAAACGAGAACAGTTAAAGAGGTTGCATAGAGCTCAGGTATTGATTCTTATTGCGGTTGCATATTGCATATTACCTACTTTAGCAGTTGTAGAATGTCTTTTTTATTGTTGTTGTTGTTTTTACTTTATGTACAATTCAGAAGGTTAATCACCTTTTTAGTGTGAATGCACTGTGTGGTTTGATTTGTTCAGGTGATTCAGCGACAATTAGAGGAGGTTGGAGAGAAACAAAGAGACCTGGAGGAAAGAGGAGTGGCTATAGAAAAGCTTATACAGGGAGAAACAGGTATTGAATAATGCAGTAAGATGCATACACATGCACGTGTAGATGGCAAAAACGGGTCGGCAAGAATAGAAAAGTCAAATTGAGATAGATACACAGACCATTTACTGAAACTGTCAATCTAGTTTTCCTCAGATTTGTTCTCCGCTGTGCAGTGTCTCTTTGGCCACAAGAACAAAATGTGATCCTCCTGTGGGTGTGTTTGCATCAGTATATGATTTAAATTATGGAATGACCTACAATAACAACTCTTAATTTGACTATCTTTTGGCCCTCTAAAATATGTTGTGTTAACTTCTTTTGTCACCTGAAATCCCCTTGACCACCTTCTTTGAATCCCTTCAAATCCTAATCCCAACCTACTGTCCATATCTCTCCTTGTCTGCGCTTTTGTCTCTTGACTCCAAGGAACTGACAATCAAACAAATGATGAAGAATATTCCCAACTTTATCAGTCCTGGTTTCAATTGGTTTTGGAGAAGAACAGACTTGTACGATATGAATCTGACCTTATGATCTTGTAAGTGACTGCATCCGAGTGAGAAACACGAAAACATCAGATTTGTCAGTGGTGGTGCACTTTCCATCTTCGACCAGTAGAGGTCATTTATTTCTTTCTGTCGCAGTGCTCAGGAGCTTGAATTGGAGGACACCCAGTGCCGACTTCAGCAAGACCTTCGACGCAGGATGAATAAAGAAGGTAAACCTGTCATATGCAACCACATTTGCAGCAGGGATTCTTTGCTCTGATCATTTGTAATTGATCACTTGCTTTTTTTTTTCTCTCTCTCTTTCACAGATACAAAGAAGAGCGCCTCTGAGCTCCAGAAGGAGCAGGAGATCCTGTCTGAGATTATGAGGACGGTAGAGAAAAGGGACATGCTGGTATCTAAACTTGAAGAGCAGAGGCTGATGGAGAGAGCTGAAGACCGGGACTTGGAAAGCCTTGTGCTGTCTAAAGGCTACGAGTTCCATTGGGCCCAGGCTAATGATAGCTGGGAGTCAGTTGAGGCCGGGCTGAGGGGTGATGATTAAAGAAAGTAAATCCAGGGCAGATGCAAGCCAGGGAGGGCAAATCAAATGTCCTAAGAGGTTATGTACACCACTAATTTAAAGAAGAAAAGTAAACTCTTTACCGTTCCGTTTCAGTCATTGTTCATAAATGGGATACATACAACTAAAAGTCTTGACTTTTAAGATTTTTATTAAACAGTTTTTTCTTTTTTCTTTTTTTTTTATATTGAAGAGACTTGAGAGGAAGAATCAAAATAGAACAAATGATTCAAAAGAAAAGATTAATATCTGATGTCAATTTAGTTTATTTACGACGTCTGAATGACTGACAGCCTTTTTGCTCACTTCATAATTCAACTTGCCTGGAGCCACAACTGCTGTTCTTTCTACATAAGTTGGGTTGTTGACAGATATAGCTGTTGTATATGATCACGTTTTACCACATGGACTAACCCCGCACTTCACCTGGGGTTTCAGTTTTGCACAGCTAAAACTTTGTAATTACACATGTATATTATGCTCACTAATATAAATGTGTGTCCTGTTTGTATGTGTGGGTGTGTGTGTAAAGCCGCTTTCACACTGCCATTCCGACAAATTAGTGTAACGGTGCACCCTAGATTTACTAGCTGGTCCCTTTGAAGCAGAACTCACAGGAAACTGTTGTGGCTTTGCAATTTCATTGGCAGTAAATATATGCAGGGAGACATCAGTGCAACAGTTAAAATCGCTTTAAGCATTAAATGAGCCTTGAGAGTTAAACTTCACTCCCCTGATACACTAGCAGTGTTTTGCCTCTGATACTAGCTCGGAAGGCGAATTTACCCTTCTGTATCTGGATTTGACTCGAAAGAGCAAGACAAAGGCTGTGAAATGCCAGCTAAAATGGCCAGTATGAAAGCGGCTCTAGCCTAAGAAGGTGTTTTTTTTTCATGTTGCACTTCTCATTTAATTGTAATGTGAGAAATAGTTGAGTGATCCACTCTTTCATGTACAGGATATCTAGCCAATAATCCGAGATGCAGTGACAAGATAAATTGCTACATGGCTGAGAATGGAGTGTGCCGATCTTGTGTAGTTCAAAGTGAATTTAGCCAGGAACCAGCAACTGCTGCTTAGCTTAGCTTTTTGGGCTAAGTGGATGTCTTATTCCCAGCGAAGTAACCATAATTGATTGCTGAACTTGAATTAGACACCTGAAACCAAATTTAATTTGGTATTATTTAAATGTTGTTGCAACATGTGTTGTTTTTATACCATTTGGTTTGTTTAAAAATGAGCCCAATCTATAATAAAATGGATTTACATGTTTTCCCACTGATAAATAACAGCAAATATGAATATGGTTGATTTGATTCATTTTGTGACGACAGTATATTCTTAGTATGTGAAAGACAAACGATTTTTCAACCAAACTTTGCAGTGCAGACTAAGTTGCGATTTTGCAGATATACTCGTTTTATTTTATGTTTTATTGTATTTATTATTTGTTGTCAAATATCGTAAGTTCCGAAAACGGCAAAAGTGGGCCAAACTGCGTCCATCCTTTGAGCCCGACGTTCCTCCGGAAAGGCGGGGCCTCTCACTTGACTGACCAACTTCGGGAGGAAAAGTGTGGAATTCCATTTCCGCTTTAGGGTGTCGACCGGGATTTTTTTCTTCCGCCCCCACTTCCAACAAACTTTTAATTTCCAAGTCAACTCGAAAGTTTGAATCAAGCATCGTTGGCTTGAAGTATTGTTCCTACAATGGCTTCCTCTCCTCAGAAGTCGCCGTCTTCCCCTAAATCCCCGACGACGCCGAAATCTCCTTCTTCGAGAAAGAAAGACGACTCTTTCCTAGGAAAACTTGGTGGAACTCTGGCGAGGAGGAAAAAAGCTAAAGAAGGTAAACAGCTCGTTGAGTCATGAATCGGCATGTGTTTCAGTGCCTAGTGCTTTAATTAGGACGAAATGATTTAAGTGTTGTTTGAACATCCACTAGTCCGTATTCCGAGTAAGAGCGATCCAGGTCAAATCCGAAAAACATCGATTCCGCACGTTAATAACACAACACTTTTGACTCTGGTACTTTTTATTGTTTCTTTTCATTTTGTCACGTCACTGAGAAATCACTGTCTAGTTTGTCTCTCTGGACTACGTGTCTTTATCCATGTAAGGTAAAGAATTCGTTCTGCTGGTCTCTGTCAAGGCTCGCCTCCTTCCAGCCACTAACTCTGCTTTTTTACAATAATCGTGGAAAAGAAATTCTTTACCGCGAAACTGGTTAGCCACTGTTTACGTTCTAATGTGGAAAGATTTTTGCCCATAGAAAGTAATAAAACAATTACAATAATGTAACATGAAGCGTTATACAGCCATTTGCGAAATTTATTCATGAGTTTGTAAAACTTAAAAACAAAACAATAGCTCCTCATATTGATGGTTTAATGTTGAATGAGCATTGTAATTTTGAGATGGCTTATGCGTCTCCATTTAAAACATAACGCTGAACTTAGCATCTTAATGTTTTGATTACATCTTTACAAAGCTAAAATATGTTGGTCTTAACATTTAACATACCCAAAGGCAAAACATAAGCGTAGAGTAAGAAATCATAGATGCTCGCTGAGCTGAGTTCATAAACTGACCCTCTTAAGCCACGAGTCTCGTGCGACACCATACATTACAGACTTGTCAATGGTTCTTGTACAACTACAAGTAAACTTTCCCCCTAAATTGGGGTTGGGTTCAGAGTTATCTGACCACAAGGCTATTCAACTCTACTGTATATTAGTATAGTAAATTCAACTTTGTCATTGCGTACAGTATTATTAAGTAAACAAAATGCAGTTTGGTGTCTAATCAGAAGTGCAGAGAGAGCAGTAAGTGTTCAGTCTAAATGAATAGTAGTGGAACACAAAAGGATGAACTCGGCTATTGTTTGTAAACATTGATGAGATAGGAGGAGCAATATTGCTATTTTAGCAATAGGTAGTGGTAGTGCAATCTAGCGTAAGAGGCATGGTGTACTATGAACTACATATAAAATTAGTGTAGGAAATTCTCAGCAATAAATTATGGTCTTTATTACCAGTAGCGAGGAAGGACACGGTGCTGTACAGATGTTACAAATCTGGTCAGGTAAAAACCATATTTGAGCTAACACTGCTAGATAATGCAATTGTAAATCGAGATTTGCTGCATTACACAAGTAATCGGACCACATTAAGCCCATTTGCCCATTCCATAGTTTCTCTACACAAGCATAATCAAACAGAAGAATGAGAATATCAACTGATGGAAGAGAAAATAAATGGACATTGCAAGTTGAGACTTTTAAAAAAGTTTTCATCTGTTTCTTGGTAGACATGGGAGCATTAAAATGATAAAACACTGCAGCAGGCTGTGATGGCAAGAGTTGCAGGTGACCAAACTAAGCTTTAGGTCAAGGACCTGCGGTCAAGTGTGGCAGGGCGAGCTGAACAGAGCCTTGGCTGCATTGTAGAGGGGGGAATAAAAAAGATACAATCAAATGTTTTTCAATTTTGGTGCACTAGTCTGTGCTTTATATGATTTTCTTTTTAAATCCAATAATGATTTCTTCCAATTTGCTGGATTTGTGTGTTTCCTGTCCACGTACAGTACATGGGCCAGACTCAAATTGTGGCAGAGAGCAGCCATTGCCATGTGCCTGTTCCTGACTCTTCACATCCCAAATAATGTTTTTAGACACTTTTAATATGCACTCTAATTTTACAGTGACACTATTGTATTTAACATTTGTGTATTACATATTTGGTTTTGCTAATCGCATAAACCACACATTAAAAAGTGCAAAGTGTAGCAGACAGTATTTTGACTCACAAAGGTGGAGTTACCATGAGGCAAACCCACGTAACTGCTTCGGGCCCAAGATTTCCAGGGGCACTCACTTGTGTCATAAAACGCTTTTTCTTTCATTTAAAGCAGTTGTTATTGTTTTAAACTTAATTCGCATGATTAAAAACGAATCAAAATGCTGAATCTGCCTGCTCCCCCCTCCTTTCTTGTGCAATACAATACATGCTGATTTATATAGCGCTTTCACAACAGCGGCAGCTGTAACAAAGCGCTTAACAAATGGAATAATCTTCTCACTGCCCAGATGTAGACTTACTTGATTCAGGAAGACGAAATAAATTGATTGGCACAGCTGTGGGAGAAATACATGGGCAAGCTAGTACCCTTTTGCATTAATGAGCACCCAAAAAGGTAGCTCAATTATTTGTTGTTGTTTATTTGGTTGTGGTAATCGTTGAACAACAATCATAATTAATAATAGTTAATAATCAGAAATACATAATTTTGCAATATATTAGAATCAACACCAAGCAGGACACAATTGTGAAGTGGAATGAAATTCATACGATATTATAAACTTAAAAAAAAAAAAATTAAGATGTGCAAATTTATTCACCGCCGTTTCTCTCACTGCAGCCGAGTGACTCCGGAAGTTCCCTAATGAACTCTGAATGATCCAATGTTGACCTAAATGACTTATGATGATTAGGCCAAATAAAAAAGATAGTGTGTTTCCGGTAACATGAAATTTCAGCATAGGGTCGGTAGGTCGGACAAAGTTTTTTTTTTTTTTTTTTTAATCTTACGGTGCGAGCCTGCGACTGTAAGAAAACGCGGTTTAAACTGTCGTCGGAGATCGCGGCCGCCGCCATGTTTTAATGTTGTTGACAGACGACAGGGCAAACGACGCACGCGCTCAACGTGAATATAGCGAGAGTTTGCACCGATGTAAACCCTCTACACAAAAATGTAGAGGGTTGTTTGAAAAAAATGTCGACCGTAAAGTTTTTTTTCGACGTAGAAATTCTCGGTCGCTCGGGTTACCGGAAACACACTACTTTTTTTTCTACGCCGTATATGTGTAAAATAAATATGGTGTCATTTTCAGCTAGTAACAGCATGTTACAGCATTGGTATTTCTGAAATAATCAGAACACGATCAGATGATAAAGTAACGTATGCAACTCGTTCAGAATAGCTGAATAAACGCCAAAATATGAGACAAGACTCTCATTGTTGAGGTTGTCAACTGGAAGTCAAGAATGGGATCATTCTGTCGCGTCATTGGAAACACGTCCTTCCCTCTTTGAGCATGATATTCAAGCGTTTTTACATGAAAGTGGAAAGGTTTCCTATTAAATGGATGATTACTTGGTGCTGCTCTGGTTTACTGTTCCACAGCTGAGCCTCATTTTCTGCTGTTGCATGTAATCGCATCAAATTCACACTGGCAGGACAAGAGACACGTGCACACGCACTCACTCGATGTGCGTGGGTTCGTGTGTGTTTTATGATTTGATGGAAGGCCTTGGCCTGCTGACTTTTTTTCCGTGATCGTTGATTCAATTTTGAGTCACTGTGACGCTTATGATCAGCAGCCATCTTAGTTGCCATTGTAAAGTGGAGTAATAGCTAGACAGATAGAACGAAAGCGAAGGATCAGGACGTTAACAGTGCTCTACTGATCGGCACAGGATAGGATGAATCAAATAGACAGAGGGGAGGGTCAGAAGATGTAATAAACAACATTCGTAAGGATGCTCTTTGCACATAGGCAGATCTCAACCGTGCGTGATGGAGACAATGCTGAACAGAAGACAAGGGAAGTCGTACACGATTCTCTATGCTGAGCGAAACATGTTTTGTGGTCAAGTGTTTCTAGAGTTGTGTGCTCAGCCTTGAAAGGAGTGCAGACCTGGGATGCTGGAGCGCTTTGCATTTTGCGTGAAATACGTCAGCTGTGTGTTTCCTCACATACAAAGAGCCTAATTCTCATGGATGTGATGCAGATGCATTGATGTTATTGCTTGACTGTACACGCATTTCTGCATTTACAGCACAGACACAAAAGGAAAGGGAAGTGATGCGCTTGACAATCCACACTGTGGGCACTGATGACACGTGAGATTGTAGTTCACTTTGCTCAAGCAGCAAATCTTTTCTAAAGTAGCACAAATGTTGATCCTTGCCAGGAGCCAGACACATTTCATTGTCGACATGAAAATGCAGTAAAAACAAGTTTCTGGATTAATCCAGTGGTCATTTGGTTATAGCGTTCCCCATGAATTCACTCATAGCTGTAATTACATTACAGTCAGTGAGTGACACACAAGAAAAGGGAACCAGATCTTTTCCCCTATTTTACCGTGCTCATTTTGAAAACAAAATCAGCTGGCCACATTACGACACAGGCTGAGTTTGCTCGCATGATTCTTGAATACCATTGGGATCGTTTTTGAACAAGGCACTATTCACTATTGCCACTTATTTTGTTGTTGTTGTTTTCCAGTTTTGTGTTTTTGCTTGATATGAAATGGCCAAGTGTATTCAGTAGGATCTTTATTGGTCCCCCCCTAACAAATAAAATTTCCCGATGGGTCGGATTCATTTAAGACCTGCTTGGTTTCTTACACAGATATGGAAGCTGATCTACGAACCAACCACACACAGGAGTGCATCTGCCAAACATGTAGAATTGCAGTGTGGTTCATTTTGTATGTTGAGGGAGGAGCAATTTAGCACACACGTTATGATTAAGCAAAGCGGAGCTAACTTGCGATGGTGGAGGATTTTGCATCTTTGTATACAGCGCCTGAAAGTAAACGGCACTGTGGCACGTAACCAAGAGAAATGTTGATTTTACGCCAATCAGAGCAGGGGTTTGGGATCTACGACCCACCGAATTTTAATCTGTTTGGCAAAAAGGGGTGTGGCCATTTTCCTTTGAACCCTAATACATGTATCTGAGGAAGTCCTGGGTCATTTTTCACAAAACAGTTATTGTTGGAAACAGCGTTCAACAAGGAATCCGAATCTGCAGTCACTTAGAATATTGGTTCATATTTTCCCAACTTTACCTTTTGACCTTTAAATTGACCTTGTAAATCATGTGACATGAACATTTTTTTTCCCTTAAATTTCTCACGTTCTCTAAAACATCAAAAGTCAAAAGGTTTTTGCTAAACGTATTAAAATTCGATTGGCCATAGCTCCCAAACCCTTGCTCCGACTGACCTAAAACTTGAGATTTAGTGTTGTACCATCCCGATCAACAAGTACAGCAAGTTTCAGTAAAATCAAAAATATGCTTGGTTAAAATTTTCAATTTTGGGGGGCATGATTTGGCATGGAATGAACCCATTTCATTTGCTACAAATACAAATTCTGCTATGTTCTTCTTGAAATAGTGCGATGGATCTCATCAAATTTGTTGTTTCATTTTTCAGCAAATGAGGCAATCATACTTATTAAATGTAATTTTACAAAAAATAAAGCATCAGCAATAATCCTTAAATTAAATGAAGTGAATCGAAAAATAAACCCTGACCTTTCTTTTCAGCAAGGTATTTAAAAAATGAATTTCTTTAACATGGATCTTTAACTTTGACATTTTGTTTTGCCAGTCAACTGAGATTTTAACTTTTGCAACGCAGAACCTCCGATGAAAGTTGGATGATGTGCCAGCGGATTCTGTACGCAGTGAACCTCAGACTTTTTTTGTGTTTCCACCCACCATGCATGTTTTTGGAATGTGGGAGGAAACCGGAGTACCCGGAGAAAACTCACACAGGCACAGGGATAACATGCGAACTTCAGACAGAAAGGCCGAAATCGAATCCTGCCCCTCTGCACTGTGTGGCCGACACGCTAACCAGTCGACCACCAGGCTGCCCTCAAGTAACCTAACTCAAGAAAATACTATCCATTAATTTGGCCATAACATCGACTAGGCCGAAATCGAACCCTGCACCTCTGCACTGTGTGGCTGACATGCTAACCAGTCGCTCGCCGGGCCGCCTGCGTAATACACATCGAATATAAATAGAAGAGATTGAATTACCCTGTGAGTTTACTCGCCAGGCCGCCTGCGTAATACACATCGACTATAAATAGAAGAGATTGAATTACCCTGTGAGTTTATCATTGACATCAAAATGATGTTGTTTTATGTAATTCATATCTGTTTTTTATCACTCCAGTGTCTGAGCTTCAGGAAGAGGGGATAAATGCCATCAACCTTCCTCTCAGCCCCACCCACTATGAGCTTGACCCTGAGGACACCATGCTTGGTATTTGTATCACAGTCCCTCAATTACACATGAAGCGTCAATAGTGGAAAAGAACTGAGAAGCTGTAGACTGTTTTAGAAATCTATTGTCATAAAGAAAAAAAAAAGAGGTTTAACTGAGAAACCATAATGCTGCGCTCACCCTGTACATTCATTGGAATGCCTTGAAGAATATGCAAATACTGACTTTTGTTTGGTTTTGACATACAAAAATCAGAATCTTCATTATTGGCCAAGTATGTAAGACGCACAAGGAATTTGTCTCCGGTAGTACAGGCTTCACTAGTATTGTCAATAAGAATTACCATCATGCAGTAGTACCACCCAATGACTGCTGTGAGACAATGTGCAAAGTATATAGCAGAGCTAAAGTGATCAGTGGTGGAATACGATTCTATGACAGTTGTGCTGTTGGTGCAGGTCATCGTTGCACCATTTTTAAAGTGGCCAGTAGCAATACAGTATTTGGAGAACAACTTTAAGTGTGCAGTTGTACAGAAGTCTTTGAGCGCTTTAAAGTGTCTGGGGCTGTGGAATATAGATCAATGACAAGATAAATGACAAATATCAGACTTTTCTCCAAGAAGGTAAATATCAAACTCGGAAATGAAGCCCTATTTCCACTGGGAAATCCTGTTTGGTTGAGTATGTGAAACGCATTTGCCCGGATGTCCCATGGTGTGTCAGTCGCGCAAAGGGCTGACGAGTCATCAATCCTCCCACCAAAGAAAATAAAACGACATTGCTATCAACATTGATGGCCTGCCGTAAAAAAATTTAGACCATAACAGACATCTTGTTCATCTTCTAGAGGAGAATGAGGTGCGTACGATGGTGGATCCAAACTCCAAGAACGACCGAAAACTGCAAGAACTTATGAAGGTGAGTGTTGCCAGAAACAAGCGTTCCGACATCTTACTTGAGTCTACGTCCCACATGGGATGAGACAAGCTCGAGACGTGAACGTGGGAATCTTACTCACAATCAAATATAATAACAACATTTCTCCAGCATAGCAGCACGATACAAAGGTGTGCTAATCAGCATAATAAAAAAAAACGAGAGCGAAATCATTACGAGAACTGAAGAAGGGAAACTTAAAGAAAGACTCCTTGGCACATTCAGCATACAAACCTTAAAGGAAATAAACAATAGAATTAAAATGTAGACAGATGAAAAGCTAAAAAAAAATTGACAGCAAATCATTTACGTTACTGCAATACCTTTTGTCATGCACTAACACAGGTGTTGATCGACTGGATAAATGATGTTCTCGTTGGTGAAAGGATCATTGTGAAGGATCTGGCTGAAGATCTCTATGATGGACAAGTCCTGCAGAAATTATTCGGTGAGTTCATGGAGTCATTCGTGATTCACATATTTTCACAGTCTACATTTCAAACGTTTACACTGGGGCTGGGCGATGTGACTGGAAAGTATATCACCATATGAGTATTTCATATTGGTCTATATATGAGGGTCATTCAATAAATGAAGTGATTTTTTCGGTATTAGGACTTCTAACACAGATAGAAGCTTACTTTTTTTTTTTTAATTTGTCAACGTAGTCTCCAGCACTGTCACACACTTTTCCCATCTGTGCACAAGCTTCCATATTCCCTCAGCGTAAACATCTTTGGATTGATGTCTCAGCCCGTCGCTCCCAACACTTTTGACCTCATCGTCACTTTCAAACTTCGTGACTGTTTCATCCCAATGTCGTTTGAGCCGACGTCTATCACTATGTCAGAGTATCTCGTGTTGTTAGTCTTTTGCTGGCGTCTTGACCTGTTGCGTGGCAGCTCCATAAGGTTAGCTTCAATGTCGTGCGCTCCAGCTCCAGGAATACACAGTAGTATGGTTGGGTTTTCAGTTTTTTTTTACGGGTGATGGAGTCACCTCTCACGAAAGTGAGGGAGCCAGTAGACCGAGACGGAGGCTCACTGCAATTAGCAGGCCGCTTATGGCTGACTACAACCCACGCTAACTGAAGTGTCAGCCACGTCTGCGGCTACCACATTATTCTGCTGTAGCTGACGGACACGGCGCTTTAGCAGGGTGAGAAGGATGCAATTAGTGCAAGTGGAGCACGAAGCCATACTTACCACGAATCATCCAATGAACGAAGGCACCTCGAGCAGGGGATCAGCCAGGGACTCCGCCGCCGATGCCTGTGGAGAAAAAAAGGAAGCAAAATGGAACCTACCTTAACAGGTAGTGATGGGTGGAGTCAGTGTTGTTCACTTGCAATCGCTCGTCCGTGTGGCTCGCTCGCACTCGCTCCTCCGTGTGGCTCGCCATGCTCTCGTTCGTCCGTGTGGCTTGCTCGCTCTTGCTCGTCCATGTGGCTCGCCGCGGTTATTCCTTATGCTTGTGATGGCTTTCAGAAAAGTTGGAAGGTGAGAAACTCAATGTGGCGGAGGTGACGCAGTCAGAGATCGCCCAGAAGCAGAAGCTGCAGACTGTTTTGGAACGGATCAACGACTCACTCAAACTCTCCACCAGGAATATTCGCTGGAATGTTGACTGTAAGTGACACTCTAATGGTCAGTCAATTACCATCACAAATTCATCCACTTTTATCGTCAACATGTAATGATGTCAGCTTTATTAGGTACAGTAAGCAGAGGGCCGGGAGTAAAGGAATGATTTTATATTTGGCCAACAGTTTACAAATACATTTTTTTCTCCATTTGTATCATATCTCCAGGGAATAAATTTTTAAAATGTAGCACACAACTTGAAAATTCCTAAAGGGAATGAGCAGTAAACACATTCATAAGTGTGAGATTTAATTTGTTTTAAGAAGAAGAATAACAAGGACTCGGATTAGGAACTGCATGTAGAACTACCGTATTGGCCCGAATATAAAACGGCCCTGATTATAAGACGACCCCCTCTTTTTCAAGACTCAAGCTTGAAAAAAGACTTTTTGAACACCAAATTAATTTTTATACAGAAAATAATTACAGTACATCTGAAAAAAAATGATTATAACAATATATTTGAGAGAAAAAGCATGTTATTTTGCCTCATTAAAATCTAAAGTGCAATCACATTCGTAAATGAATGGCTTCTGGTTTTTGAAATGTAAATTACATCATAACTTCTCCTCAGCTGCAGGTTAACCTGGCCGATCTTCGACCTACTTTTCTCCAGATTGTCACTACGTTTCTCCATTTTCTGTTATCTCTTCTATTATTTTCTTCTCTTTTCCTTCTTACCGCTATTTTTTGTTTTTCTTCTTCGTGCTACCGCTATTTTTATTTTTATTCTTCGTGGCAGGGGTTCACTTTGGTCTGGGGAGTCAAGTTCAGCATTCGCTTCATTTATATCTGGCGCCATCTGGCGTCCTGAATGGATATAATGTTTAGACCCCGAATATAAGACGACCCCCACTTTTTCAGTCTTATTTCAATGCAAAAAACACCGTCTTATTCTCGGGCCAATACGGTAATTCAGATTTTGCCAGGCAAATATTCATTTGATGAATCAGTGATTAACGACTTTTCTTTCTTTCGCGACATAAAGCGGTTCATGCGAAGAGTATCGTCGCCATCCTCCATCTGCTGGTAGCACTGTCACAACACTTCAGAGCACCAATCAGATTGCCGGACCATGTTTCTCTTCAAGTCGTCGTGGTCCAGGTGAGCGTCAACACCATGGTTGTGTTTGCATTTTTGTGCTATTTTGTCTGTGTTAATTTTTTTACGAACTCTTTCCAAGTGTTTCCGGATATGTTTGGCATAATTTTCCTGTCAGAATGACATAGCTCTTCTCTGGCTTTCAGAAAAGAGAGGGTATCCTGCAATCCAGACAAATTCAGGAAGAAATCACTGGGAACACAGAGTAAGTAATAGAACTGAACAAGTAATAGACTTTTGATGTTCACCCAAATACGTACAAGTGATACCGCCTCGGGCAGCCCAGTTGTCCAGTGGTTAGCGCGTCCACCTCACAGTGCGGCGGTTCCGAGTTCAATTCCAGCTGCGGCCTCCCTGTGTGGAGTTTTCATGTTCTCCCCAGCCTGCGTGGGTTTTCTCCGGGTCCTCCGGTTTCCTCCCACATTCCAAAAACATGCATGGCAGGCTTATTGAACGCTCTAAATTGTCCTTAGGTGTGAGTGTGAGCGTGGATGGTTGTTTGCCCTGTGATTGGCTGGCAACCGGTTCAGGATGTCCTCCGCCTACTGCCCGAAGACGGCTGGGATAAACTCCAGCACGCCTTACGACCCTTGTGAGGATAAGCAGATCGGAAAATGGATTGTTGGATGGATGATACCGCCTACCAAAAGTTGCATCTCTACCACAAGGAAATATCCTTTCAGCCTTGGGTCCCACACTGAAGATTTGCTTACAGAGCACAAAGACTTTCCATTTTTGACAGACAGTATGTTTTGCGAAGGAGAGTACTGGAGATGATAAGTGAGCCACAGTGACTCCCAACGTTTCAGGAATTTAGCTGATGGTCTCAAGAGCATGCCACACATGAAAAAGGGTTGCGTTCACTGAAATGACATGAGTTTAACCATGGCAGCAACTACACTTTAAGACGGTCTGTCAACTTTTCTCAACTCAGCAAGAATATGTTGGGATTATTCATTGAAAACATCAGATAATTTGACACTGTGAATTAAAAAAAAAGTCATTTTGGCAACATTTATACTTTTTACTAATTTTCAGCTACTTAAACACTTCATCCAGTTTATAGCTGTAAGTACTAGTGACCGAGCTTTGTGTGCTACTCAAGAGGAGAAGTTAGGGACTGTGGGAGTTCAAGGGTAATTCAATTTTCACACCATTGTAGGAATCGCATGCACACACACACACACACACACACACACAATGACAAGATAAATGACAAATATCAGACTTTTCTCCAAGAAGGTAAATATCAAACTCGGAAATGAAGCCCTATTTCCACTGGGAAATCCTGTTTGGTTGAGTATGTGAAACGCATTTGCCCGGATGTCCCATGGTGTGTCAGTCGCGCAAAGGGCTGACGAGTCATCAATCCTCCCACCAAAGAAAATAAAACGACATTGCTATCAACATTGATGGCCTGCCGTAAAAAAATTTAGACCATAACAGACATCTTGTTCATCTTCTAGAGGAGAATGAGGTGCGTACGATGGTGGATCCAAACTCCAAGAACGACCGAAAACTGCAAGAACTTATGAAGGTGAGTGTTGCCAGAAACAAGCGTTCCGACATCTTACTTGAGTCTACGTCCCACATGGGATGAGACAAGCTCGAGACGTGAACGTGGGAATCTTACTCACAATCAAATATAATAACAACATTTCTCCAGCATAGCAGCACGATACAAAGGTGTGCTAATCAGCATAATAAAAAAAAACGAGAGCGAAATCATTACGAGAACTGAAGAAGGGAAACTTAAAGAAAGACTCCTTGGCACATTCAGCATACAAACCTTAAAGGAAATAAACAATAGAATTAAAATGTAGACAGATGAAAAGCTAAAAAAAAATTGACAGCAAATCATTTACGTTACTGCAATACCTTTTGTCATGCACTAACACAGGTGTTGATCGACTGGATAAACGATGTTCTCGTTGGTGAAAGGATCATTGTGAAGGATCTGGCTGAAGATCTCTATGATGGACAAGTCCTGCAGAAATTATTCGGTGAGTTCATGGAGTCATTCGTGATTCACATATTTTCACAGTCTACATTTCAAACGTTTACACTGGGGCTGGGCGATGTGACTGGAAAGTATATCACCATATGAGTATTTCATATTGGTCTATATATGAGGGTCATTCAATAAATGAAGTGATTTTTTCGGTATTAGGACTTCTAACACAGATAGAAGCTTACTTTTTTTTTTTTATCACAGTCTACATTTCAAACGTTTACACTGGGGCTGGGCGATGTGACTGGAAAGTATATCACCATATGAGTATTTCATATTGGTCTATATATGAGGGTCATTCAATAAATGAAGTGATTTTTTCGGTATTAGGACTTCTAACACAGATAGAAGCTTACTTTTTTTTTTTTTTTTTGTCAACGTAGTCTCCAGCACTGTCACACACTTTTCCCATCTGTGCACAAGCTTCCATATTCCCTCAGCGTAAACATCTTTGGATTGATGTCTCAGCCCGTCGCTCCCAACACTTTTGACCTCATCGTCACTTTCAAACTTCGTGACTGTTTCATCCCAATGTCGTTTGAGCCGACGTCTATCACTATGTCAGAGTATCTCGTGTTGTTAGTCTTTTGCTGGCGTCTTGACCTGTTGCGTGGCAGCTCCATAAGGTTAGCTTCAATGTCGTGCGCTCCAGCTCCAGGAATACACAGTAGTATGGTTGGGTTTTCAGTTTTTTTTTACGGGTGATGGAGTCACCTCTCACGAAAGTGAGGGAGCCAGTAGACCGAGACGGAGGCTCACTGCAATTAGCAGGCCGCTTATGGCTGACTACAACCCACGCTAACTGAAGTGTCAGCCACGTCTGCGGCTACCCCCTTATTTTGCTGTAGCTGACGGGCACGGC